TACTGAATTGGACTACAAAATGCTCAAAATTTAATTTATATTTTTACAAAAAATATAAATTTAATTATATTTTCAATTGCCTATAAAAACACAATGTTATTTTATCAAATGATAGTTTGTTTTATTGTATTGCACAACAATATTTTGCCAATTGTACACCAATTAAATTTAACTCGATTATAGTGAACACTTAAAAGTTTGAAACAATTAATACTTTATAGTTTGTTGTTTGTCATTAACTTTATATTTAATTTATTTAATACATGAGAATTTTGTCAAAGGAATTGTTGCGACAAATATTCCGGGAATTTGTTTGTCAGACAAATAAAAAGTTTTTATTTATTGAAATAAACGTTAATTACATAGTATTCACGCAAAACGCAAATTTCATTAACAAATGATTTTGAATTTATATTAAATTAAAACATTTTTTATTTATTTTGTATTTAGGCATGAATTGAGAAATTAAACTTGTTTATTAAAATTACACTTTTTGTTTAAAACACAATAAATAGCGTTATAATGTCTAACGTAAAGCTAATCCAAATGCCATAATCCCAATCCAGGAGCCGATGTCACCATTATTTAGGGTCGGATGGACTATACGGTCAGTGATAATGCATTCAACGCCGCAACTGATCCGCGATCGCAAATATCACTTACCATTGCCTACACTCTATCACAAGTGTATAATTGGGTCCGAACTGATCGACTGGATCCTCAATGTGACCACTAATACACCCGTTAGAGTCCACTCCAGAGGACAGGCGGCTGCCATGTGTCAGGTGCTCCTCGAGGGACAGGTGTTAACTCAGGGTATGTTTTATTGTTATTTTATTTATAAATAAATTTTTGTATTTATTTTTAAGAGATTTTAATATTGAATGAGGAAAACGTTGATTACATTATAATTATCTCAACTTAAATATGTTTTCAAATTGCATTAAAATATTAAATTAGCGAAATTAAGACTTAACGCCAAATCTAATAAGTATAACCATGTTGGTTTAATTGCATTATTTTAAATTATTATAGTTTTATGATTAAAATTAATGTTCACATTATCTGAGTTTAATGTCTAAACATTTGGCAATAAAAGCCAAACGCATTGATAAAAACAAATTTATTCTGTTATAAGATATACTAATGAAATAATATTGTTGTCATACGTGTGAACAGTAACCACAGAATCGGTTCCGTCGACGACGACCGGCGCCGACGACGACAATAAGAGCCAATTCCTGGACCGATATGTGTTGTATCGGTTCTGTTTCGACGATCAAATCGATTCCGCGGTCACCACCGAAGACAAGAGGATCGCCGAATCAGAACTCATGCAATCGCTGTCATCGTTGGCACAGTTGGCTCCGGACGCTATACTAAGGCTCATATTACGCAAACCGTAAGTGCATTAAACCTATAGTCCGGAGGGAAATGTGTCGTGAAATTAGCTTTCAATCAGTGAAAAGTCTTTACTTATAATACTTTTGTTTGTCTGAGACAGACAGAGAAACAAACATAACTACAGAACAGATTGTTTTCTGTATATTCATAGTTATTTTAACGAAATCATAATTACTTCATGACCTAATCTCTCGCTACCGTACACACCCGCTGAGATAGGTTAAGACATCAATGAAATATATTTTAAGTACAGTACAGAGTGTAGAATATTTTACACATTGTAAACACATATGAGATTTAAACTACTAGTTTAATATACAACTCAATAATGCATACAAACTAATAATACTTATATTCCCTGAAATTGTGATCATTAATACAATACATTTATAATATACAGAATATTTTGTTATTTCTTATCAGACAAATAAGCGAACAAATAATTATTTAAAATACTTATTATAATACAATAATTGCCACAAACATGTATTGACAACATTAATAATATTTCATATTTCAAACAGACCTCAAAAGCGTACGGAAGAGGAGATGGAGTCCGTGTTTGAAGAGCTGTTGCACATCAAAGCGCTGTCACATCTCTCCAATTCAGTTAAGAAAGAGTTGGCCGCTGTTATCGCCTTCGAGTCTCACCCAAAAAAGCAAACTATTTGTTAGTATATTTCATCCCATATTACATACCACTACTACACAAACAATCCTAATATTATATATCTATGCATTTAAAACTTTATTTTTGCAAATCCTATTTGACATTAACAGTTATGAATTATCATGGTATATGCAATAAATTATACCCCCGCANTGACCGCGGAATCGATTTGATCGTCGAAACAGAACCGATACAACACATATCGGTCCAGGAATTGGCTCTTATTGTCGTCGTCGGCGCCGGTCGTCGTCGACGGAACCGATTCTGTGGTTACTGTTCACACGTATGACAACAATATTCTTTCATTCGTATATTTTATAACAGAATAAATTTGTTTTTATCATTGCTTTTGGGTTTTATTGCCAAATGTTTAAACATTAAACTCGGATAATGTGAACATTAATCTTAATCATAAAACTATAATAATTTAAAATAATGCAATTAAACCAACATGGTTATACTTATTAGATTTGGCGTTAAGTCTTAATTTCGCTAATTTAATATTTTAATACAATTTGAAAACATATTTAAGTTGAGATAATTATAATGTAATCAACGTTTTCCTCATTCAATATTAAAATCTCTTAAAAATAAATACAAAAGTTTATTTGTAAATAAAATAACAATAAAACATACCCTGAGTTAACACCTGTCCCTCGAGGAGCACCTGACACATGGCGGCCGCCTGTCCTCTGGAGTGGACTCTAACGGGTGTATTAGTGGTCACATTGAGGATCCAGTCGATCAGTTCGGACCCAATGATACACTTGTGATAGAGTGTAGGCAATGGTAAGTGATATTTGCGATCGCGGATCAGTTGCGGCGTTGAATGCATTATCACTGACCGTATAGTCCATCCGACCCTAAATAATGGTGACATTGGCTCCTGGATTGGGATTATGGCATTTGGATTAGCTTTACGTTAGACATTATAACGCTATTTATTGTGTTTTAAACAAAAAGTGTAATTTTGATAAACAAGTTTAATTTCTCAATTCATGCCTAAATGAATAACATTAACAAAATAAATAAGAAATGTTTTAATTTAATTTAATTTAAATTTAAATTCAAATTCATTTGTTAATGAAATTTGCGTTTTTTTGTAAATACTATGCAATTAACGTTTATTTCAATAAATAAAAACTTTTTCTTTGTCTGACAAACAAATTCCCGGAATATTTGTCGCAACAATTCCTTTGATAAAATTCTCATGTATTAAATAAATTAAATATAAAGTTAATGACAAACAACTAAAAAGTATTAATTGTTTTAAACTTTTAAGTGTTCACTATAATCGAGTTAAATTTAATTGGTGTACAATTGGCAAAATATTGTACAATGCAATAAAACAAACTATCATTTGATAAAATAACATTGTGTTTTTATAGGCAATTGAAAATATAATTAAATTTATATTTTTTGTAAAAATATAAATTAAATTTTGAGCATTTTGTAGTCCAATTCAGTACTGAGTGAATCAATGTATTTTTTAAATCAAATTTAGTTGTGTTCATCGATTTTGAAGCAGAAATTTAAATTATGTTAACATTGCTCTCTCTCTCTCTCTCTCTCTCGCATTCAGCCTTCAAATAATAATGCAATTATTGGTCACATCTGTTGTGGGAGAGTGTGTTTGTGTGCTATAAAAATCTGGTCATGAATTTACTAAATTATATTTATTATTATCTAAAATAACAAACACTGAATGAAAAAGCAATTAAAAATTGATGTAATTATCGTATATATTGTGTTAATTCGCGCATAAATACTATTAACAATATTTAGCCATATGTTTGTTTTATTTCTATTGTAATTAAAATAATGCAAAACTTTTACATTACAATTGTTTTCATATATTTATCGTTAAAAATAATCTCTAATTAGAAATGAATTTTTGAAATGTAAGCATATTTTAATTAGTGGCTCTCTCTCTCTCTCTCTCTCTCTCTCTCTCTCTCCAGACTGTCTTTATCTCTATTTCTCTCTTCTATGGATTATTGAGTGATTTTATTGAAACACTTTTCAAGTAAAATGATTACTGAAAAGATATACTGTAT